TCTGTCAGGTCTTGCTGTCAGGGAAGTGTCCCAGCCCATCTCTGTGTTGGGATTTTCCCTGGCTGGCTGGCAGGAACGTCCTCCCTCACGTCTGTGTTGCTGTGGCAGGCACGGGCTGTGCTGGCAGTGCTGCTGCTCCGTGCCGGCCAGAGGGATCCCAGTGTGCTGCCAGCAGGATCCCAGTGTGCTGCCAGCAGGATCCCAGTGTGCTGCCAGTGGGACCCCAGTGTGCTGCCAGTGGGACCCCAGTGTGCTGCCAGTGAGATCCCAGTGTGCTGCCAGCGGGATCCCGCTGCCAATGCCTTACAGATACGCCTTAACAACCTGAGCCAAAAGTGTGGGGGTGCTTGACAGAGTGAGAAATCAGGGACTGACTGCACCATCCGACGATTTATTGGTGTCTGGTCAGGCCTCCAGCCTGGGCATGGCTGGGTGAGGAGCCATGGTGGGAGCGGGTCCCCCCACTCTGTCACTGCATGTGACCTCCCTCCCTCCTGGCTAAAGCATTTATTTATTTATTTTCTCCTGCTGCGCTCCCGCGTTAGGAATGTGTCACTGGAGCTGCTGATTGTGAGCCCAGTTGCTGCCATTGCTGGCCCAGAGCCCCGTCCCTCCCCTGCCCCTCACAGGAGCCCCAGTGTCGTGCTCACCTGGGCAGGTGCAGTCTGTGTTTACAGTGAGGACGTGTCACTGTGTTACCAATTTACTGACTGAATATTGACAAACTAGACTGTAAAGATTTTTATGTGTTTGGATACATCTGCTATGTGAAAAAGCAACTAATTTTGTACATATTGTATTTTTACTATTCAGCTGTACAATACTGGCTCTTCATGCTCCAGAATTTAGGTATCCAACATGAATGATATCCATGTAATAAGCACTTGCCTGAAATAAATATAAAACTAAAATAAACATGCACTGAAATCCAAAACAGGATTCTGCATTTGCCTCCCTGTGCTTTGCATGCAGATGCACACCTTGTTTGTAATTTCCCAAGAGCAAAGCCTTCCCTCCCTCTGGAGCCATCGCTGCCACTCCAGGTGTGTGTCACTGATCCATGGGCTGGAGCTCCGGATTAGGCTGGGGGGAGGCAAAGTCTTTGCAGCCTCTGGAACCTGTAAAAACTTGGGAAATTGTGCCCAGACACCTGCCCTTCTCCTGCTGAGCCAGGAGGACACGGGCCCAGCTGGAGCCCATCCCAGCCCTGCCGTGGGGTCCCTCCAGAGCCCTGAACACCCGTCAGAGCAGCGTCGTGCCCGTGGCTGTCAGGTGAGGCTCCCTCCCCCCGGGGACTGTGCTGGGCACCCACCACCACAGTGGGACTGTCCCAGCCCCCGTGGGCAGCCAGGCCCTGGTTGGGGTGTCTGTTCTCCATGGTGGGTGGGGGATCTGGGGGGCCAGGGATGGGCTGTGCAGCCTGGCCAGAGGTGCCTCACTGTAACTGCTCTCTCCTGCAGATGCTGAAGGTGGAGTCCCAGGTTTTCCCAGTCCCTCGTCTCCAGGACATGGATGCGGTGCCTGGTCAGCCAGAGCAGGGTAAGTCAAACCCTCCCGGTGGCACTGGGGGGCAGCAGGCCAGGGGGGTGGGGGGGTGGGGCTGGGTTGGTCCCCCCGGGTGGGCTCAGCTGTGGGGTGGAGGGGCTGGGGAGGGGGCAGGACCACCACGGGTCTAAACAGCTTTAAAAGCTACTGAGACTTTGCAAAGGGAACAGTGGGGGACAGTAAGAAGGAAGAATGTTCTGTAGACAGGAGCCAGCAGTAACCCCAGCTGTGGTGCCTGTGTCCCCTGCCCACCCCAGTCACACCATGCAGACAGGTGAAGGCACTGGAAGATTATTTAGGCCAACATGTCTTTGGATGCACTTCATAAAGGGCTGATCCTCATTTATAGGGATAAATACCTGATTAGCACCTGTAACGAGGGATGGCTGCACCCACCCTGCCATTTGTTGGGCTTTTTTAATACAGGAATGGGCAAACACTCCATTATTCCCCAGGGACCCACCTCCAGGCAGAGCTATCCAGCCTAAAAAAGAAAAAAAAAAAAAACTGAAAAATTGCTGCAAAAACTGCCAGTAGCAGCAAAGCAGGCAGGTGAGACTGAGGGACTGTCCCTGCTGCAGAGGAGACACAGGAGGAGGAGCTTAAGAGGTTTGATGGGGGACTGGCAGTGATTGAGGACGTTCTCTCCTGGCAGCCCAGCAGCTCAGCTGGATTCAGTGCAGCTGCAGCACAGTCAGGCCTAAAACTGCAGGATGGAACTTTTTAACACTTGCAATAGGGCTGGTTCTGCCCCTGGGCTGGGGTGCCTCAGGCTTGGCTGGTGCTGGTGGGTGCTGTGTGTCACTTAAAGCTGCCCTTAAAGTCATCTTAGGGACCTCAGGAGTCCACTTGGTGGTGACCTACTTGCTGCCTTTAGCACTACAGCCCATGCAGCTCGTCAGAGAAATGTTAATTACATCTCTCCCTCTCTTTCCAGCCTTGTTCTTAGGACTCCCTGTTCTGTCGCTGAAATCACCTTGGGGGAGAGCAGTGCTTCCAAAGAGCTCCACCAGGATGCCTTGATGATAAGTATTTATTCATATGTTACATTTAAACATAAATAATTGAGCGATAAAGAGAATAGTCTGCTCCCAACAAAAATAAATAATACACAACATTGATAAAATCCAATCAAACAGAATGTTGTAACAAATACAGTGAAGTTGCAGACTGGGTTTGTGTGAAACAGCTGTACAGAACATTCCCAACGTACCAAAGGAAAATAGTGCAGTTTTATCTGTACATCCATCACTCCTCAGGCTCTGGGAGTTGGAGGTTTTCTCACTCTTAAAAAATACTATTTCAGTTTTCAGGTGAACAAATGGAATCCTTCAGACACACCTGAAGCGTTGTCGGGGCCGTGGTTGGGCACAGCTGGAGCTCAGGGGGGCTCAGCCCCACCACAGACCCTCAGGACCTTCTCCTGCTGTGACTCCCAGGGGTGCTGCCCGGGGGGTTCCTGCCCTGCAGCCTCAGCAGTGCCTGGCACAGAGCCCTGACCACGTGCCAACACCAGTGAGGGGGCCTTGGGCTGGGGGTTCTTCACCTTCCCCTCAAATTCTGCAAGACCACTTTAAGGGAGGCCTTGGCTACTGAGCTCAGCACTGGGGCTCCATTTTTTCCCTTTGCAGACCATTATTGACCATTTTCAGGTCCAGCAGAGCACAAGGGTGCCCCCAGCTTGGGTAGCCACCAGAGCAGGGTTACTGGAGCAAATCCTTCCCATCGATATTTGAATCATCAAACAATAATTTTAATCCCTACCCCCCTTTTTGCTAAAATCTGATTTTTAAAAGCTCCTGTGAGCAGGTGTAAGTCATGTAAACTGAGCAACCTGGCCTGGAGAAGGTGTCCCTGCCCATGGCAGGGGGTTTGACTGGGACCAGCCCAAACCGTGCCATGAAGAGCACAGAGTTGCTCATGGAAACACAGCTGTGTAACTGGCTGCTCTGAAAGATTAAAAAAAAAAAAAAAACACAACAAAAAAGCAGAAACACAAAAATTCAGATTCAAAGTCGTGCTTTTTTTTTTTTTTCAAAGGTTCTAATGGTAAAGGGGGGAACACTTTGGAATACTTGAAGTGCTTAAGCTAAGTCCCAAGTTCTGGGAGCAGGGTCACATACATCCATGGAACCTGCAGCAAGAACCTGCTCCCTCCCTCTGGCTGACCAGGATACACTTTCACTTGGCAACAACATGCAGCTGGGGAGGGCAGGCAGAGCACAGGTGAACTGTACAGTGTGATGAAGAGGAGGCCCCAGAGCCAGGACCTGCTCCCTGGGCACGAGGCCCAGCAGGAGGGATGGGCACAGACCATCCAGGGCACACGGACAGTGGGACAGCTCCACCCCAGCACGGGGCTGGCACAGCATCAGAGCCCCTTCACCTGGCAAGGGTCATCCTGCTCATGGACACCAGCACCTGGTTTGTGTTCGCAGAATCCCACGGAGATTCCTCCCAGAAAGCTCTGCAGAGCAGGGAGGAAGAGGAGGAGGAGGAGGAGTGTGCAGTAAGTGATCTGGAGGAGGCTCTGTACCATGGGAGCTGAATCCATGGCTCTGCACAGCACAGAGCAGGAGCTGCCAACGTGAGCAGGGACCTGTCCGTGGGCTGAACCTGCTCACCTGAACAACAGGAGGCAGGTCCTGGCAGCTGGAAATGGGGGCAAGGTCAGTTTGCAAAGCAAAATGAAGACAGGGCTGTGTGGGCCAAGAAGACTGAGCAGTGTGAGCCAGTCAGCCAAGGCTAAACTGTTATTTTAGCTAATGAGCTCATCACTGCTCCCATGAACTGTTATTTAGTTTAAGGCCATTCTCCCAGCTAGGAATCTTATCGACTTTAGTACAAACTCAAATGTTTTAGCAACATGAGCTCAGACACATTCTCATCCATGTTCAAGGCAAAGACAGTGAGTCCAGGACCATGCTCCTCCCAGGACCCAATTCAACACCTGTGACACTGGATCCAGCCCTGCCTCCATGGAAGCTCCTGGCAGAGCACAAGACGTGCATCCAGGCTTTAAAGGTGCAGTAAGTCAAAATAAAAATGTTCCAGAATGTCAGATCCCCGCTCTTAACATCACAGAGATGTAGATAGATGTCTCGTGGAGAGGGAAACAGAGAATGCAAAAAGATTTTGTCTAGAAATACAAAGTGGGTGTAACAAGGACTATCAAACACCAACCTCATCTGGTGAAGGGAAAGTTCTGGTTTTAAAAGTCTGTTACAAATCTCCTCGCTATTTATTACATTACATGGAAGATGCAATTAAAACACCATTTGGAATTACAGTGCAAGGAATGCTCCCTCTGATGGCTCACAGGGACAGTCTGTCCAGGGTCACTTGTTCTCAATCAGTGTCTGCACTTTGTAGACCAGGTCTCTCGCTATCCTCAGGATCTCTGCAGCATCGTGGTGCTCGGCCATTTCTGCAACACACACACAGACACTGAGCTGGCAGCAGCACAACCTTCCTGCCCTGGCACTGATATTTGTGTTGCATTAGCATTAATTAATTAGCATAATGAGAAACAACCACAAAGCATTGTAGGGGGTTGGGAGAGTTTAAGACAGAAGTGGATGAATCCCTGGTGTTGCAGGTCCTGGCAGCAAGATCTGATCCCTCCACTGTCAGTTCTCTCCCTGCAGAAATCCCAGTGCCCCGTGCCCAGCCCGGGAGCTGAGGAACAGGGAGCTGAGGAATGTACAGCTGCACTCAACGGGATCAGGGCACCTCTCCAGGCAGGACTATTGCTGGGGTGGCTGGGACTCAGATGATAAAGGCAAGTAAGAAGGGCTGTGTGTCCCTGGAGCAAGGGCCAGAGTTCCACATGCAGACATGGCCACTGCAGTGGTCACAAAGCAGTTCTTGACAGCCCTGAATCCTCAGCTCCACAATAAACATTTCATTCAGCTTAAGGAAGTACTGGGGGGGGGGTGTTTGGGGGGGATTTTGAGGAAAGCTTTGGAATAAGAGTGGCTGAGGCAAAAACAAAACCAAATTTGGGGCTTCTGCAACAGATGGCTGAAAGCCACAGCACTGATAATACAGTAAATTACTGTGATTACACAATTGTTTCCAAACCTTTGAAAAGGTTTAGAAACCCTAATAGGAAGCCCTGGTTTAGGACCAACTTCCATTCTCAGCCAGGAAGAGACCTTGCTCTGGCAGAACATTTCCTGCTCTGGCAGTGGATGGTGGCTGCTCCGGCAGGGAACCACCCATGGAAGTGGCTTGGGATGTTCTCCATGAATAGTTGTTCACATGTTCCAGCTTCAGCAAGGTCAAGCTCTGCGAACACAAACTCTGGCAAGCCTAAAACCTTGGAGAGACTTTACAAAAAAATGAAGCAATGTTTCAGCACCTCCTGTGAAGCCAAGAGTGAAGAGTCATCACAGCAAAACTTCTGAACAGAAATTGTGAAGTTTGTTTTGTGGTAAAAATCCCCACTGCCACTGAAGAAGCGACCACCAGCCATGGCCCAGGTAGGTCTGAAAACACTGGTGTTTGTGTCAAGGCAGAGCTTCAGGAAGCACAGGAACACTTGGGCTCATCATTTACACAAAGGAGTGAGAGATTCAGAGCTTAAAATGAGCAGGGGCTTGTCACAACAGCAAGAATGCACCATGGCAGTCTGAGAAAGGGAGAAGGAGCAAAGGCTTGATATTTTTTATCAAAATGGCTCTTACCATTAAAAAACTTGATGATATCAGTGAAGTCCATGTTGTTATCACGGATAATCTCTCGATAAACTTCCACAAGTGCTAAGGCAATGAAAAGGACAAAATGTTCTGAAGAGATGTGCTTTGCTGCCCAAATAACTTCCCACACTGTAAATACATCCTCGTACAACAATTCTGAATGGGAATAAACATTACAAGAGCATCTGATTATTCACACTGACCATGGCCCCCTCTCTCACTAATTTCTACAGGCCTCAGGCAGACAGAACAGACCCTATGACTCCTCCTGCTCCTCTCCCCCCTCCTCCAGCCAACTCCTGGCACTTGTGCACATAAGGCACAGAACTGGGTTAAAAGTACAAATCCCAAAGCCTGGAGGTGTGGTGGTGCAGAGCCAAGCCCAGAAAGGTGCCTGAAGCACAGTGACCGTGTGAGAGCAGCCCAGGAGCTCTCCTGGGTTACAGGACAGGCTGCAGGTGTCAATGTGTATCCAGGCACATCTCGGCTGTGCAGCAGGGCTGTCAGCACTAACACTCTGCTGGAGTGTGCCTGTGCAGGGATCATGGGATCCAAGGGTGCTCCCACAGGATACCGAGCACCTCACTCAAAGTACAACAGCTCTTGAGCTACAGCTGAGCTGCTCCTTTTCATCACAAGGATTAGACAGGAGGTATCAAAGCTTACAGAGCAGTGGGATCACCTTGGGATCACCTTGAGCAAACAGGCATTTGCACTGGGCAGAAACGTGGCTTTAATCACATCATCAGGAATTTTCAGCACCCCTTTCTAAGCCTGGACTCCATTCCAGTGCTGTTTCATCCCAGAGCTGCATTAGCTTTCCTGGCTACAAACTCCCCTGTGATCCCAGCTGTCACTCACCACCCCAACAGACACTCACACCAAAACCCAGAGCTGTTACAGTTCTATACAACTCTAAATTACAGGCACAGAACATTATTACCTCTTTTAAAGTCAAGCAGGAACCAGCGATAGCAGAAGTAAAAGTGAGTGTAATCTCCATTTTGGTGCATCAGTTCAAAAAGCTCTGAGTCCAGAATCTAGAATGGAAAACATCAACTGTCAGGATCTGGTCTGAAAGTAGCCAAGGTCAGAGGTGCTGGAGTCTGGTTAAAACTCCTGCTCCTGCTCCCTGCTCCTCATGCCCTGCTCTGTGGTCAGAACAGCTGCTGGCACAGGCACAGCCTGTTCCTGAGTGTGCCAACCTGTGACTGGGGTGCCTGGGCAGGGCTGAGGTGAGGAGTCCCTGCTGTGCACAGATGGGGTGACAAAGTCAATCCTCACCATCACTTTAAAGGTCCAAGCAGCAACATGAAGATCCTACAGATTTTCAACAAATGCCAAACTTTCATCTCCCCCTCCCCACTTCTGCTCTCTGGCTGTAACTGCAAACCCATTTACCACAACTCTCCTCCTCCCCAGCTCTGAAGTCCTAGATGGAATTCCAGTCACTGGAGCTCCTGGCCTTCACCATGGCACCAGGTGAGTCCCGAGCCTCTGCCACAGCCCTGTCCTCTTTCAAAAACAATCCAACCACTCACCTGGATCAGGGAGCGCATGTTGGCAAAGTGTGTGTCCATAGCACCTCCATTGGGAAAGTTCTGGCTCATCCTCTTCATCAGGTGGCTGAAGCAGCTGTAGGCCAGCTGATCTGCAGGGACAACACAGACACGCAGTGCTGCAGGGACTTGAACCAAAATAACAAACTGCAGGGCCTGGGAAAAACAGGATCTTCCCCTTTGCTGTTCCCTAATCCCAGGATTTAGATGAAACAGAGGTTGGTACCTGACTCTGGACCATTTTTACTCATTAAGTTTCAAAGAACCCAGCCTGCAGTTGACTTTTCAGCTTCAGCAACTGCCAGAACACAGTAATTTTACTAAATTGAGTAATATTTAATCTGGAAGTCAGTAAGTGAACAGGGCAGCCCCGAGATACTAATGTCAGCCATCTCAACAACAGCCACAGGTGGAGAAAAGACAAAACAGAGAAAACAGCCCTGGTTAAGGCAGAAACTCCTTCTGAAACAGCATTTCTAAGGGAAGACCTCACTAAGGATACCAACGTGTCCCAAAGGAAAAGCCTTCCTACCATTGTCAAGGATAACCATCAAAGGAGCCAGAAGGTCACACATGCCTTGGACATAACCGACTTCTAGGTGCTCCCAGACATAGCTGTGGAAAGAAGAAATCCTTGTATTGAAGGATGATTCTATATGTGAGATCAAATCCTAAGGAGCTGCTGAACATGTGAGTCTCAGAATTTTCTGACAGCTCCATCCCAGAGCATTTCACAGCCCTTTACTGTTTGCTGCCTCGATAGAGAGGTCAACCCTCACACACAGAGCTTGCATCTCAGTGGTTTGGGAAAAAACAGCTGACAAAGGCTCAACAGTCTATGGGAAAAGCCCAGATTTGTTAAAGGTACCTGGGCTTTTGCTTTTCTTTTTTCTTTTTTCTTTTTTCCACTAAGTGGAATTTTGCTCTCTTTTCTGACTGCTAAAGTCTATGACACTTTCTGCTTTAAGGGTGTGTAGCTGAACCACCTTCACTGCAATTTGTACTCCCAGAAGGGAAAACAACTTTCTGTTGTTTCCAGCTGCTGTCAGTGGTCAGACAGTGGTTTGACTTTGGTTGGATTTGTAGAGCTGGGCTTTCTGTCTACTTACACACGTCCCTTAGCACTGTATGGATCTGGGCACAGTTACTGTCACCTTCACAGCACACCCTCAGAGCACGGATGTATTATCCTGGTCAGGAGAAACCCAAACCTCTTAGGACATTCAGAGGATAGTTCTCTAAAACAGGGTCTGCCTCTGGGGAGAATCTTCTCACGCTTGCATTCCAGACTTGGACCTGTGCTCTAAGCTGCCATTCCTCCTTCTTACAAGTTCTTTTAAGTTCATTAGCGAAAATTTTTGTAGACTGTTATTTGCATATTATTATAGTTTATAGATTAGTTTATGGATTGTGACACAAATGTGAAAGTGGTGGGTTTACAAGTTCATTACCTGCACATGACATTTCGGAGCTTCTCCAGGTTCTCGGCAGTAAAATACCAGTAATTCCGGTCACATCTCTGGACATCTTTATCAATTCTGTGCAAATTTAAGGCAACAGTGTCCAATAACTCTATCTAGAAAAGAGAAGTTTTAGTTAGATCTGCTGAGTTTAGAGCACTCTCAGGACTTTGTGCAGATTTGCTCTGAGAATCACCAAACCAAAACCAGTACAATTACACTCTGGGCAGATGAGGACATCAAAATGCTCGATTACTGTCAAAAATGCCAAGTAAAACACATTTGTTTTCACTGAAAAATGTGCCAAGCCTGTCCTACTTCCAGATGGTTATATCCAGCTAAACAACTTCAGCAGAGAGAGGCAAAGACTGAGCTGCTAATCTGTTGACTGCAACAGTAATAGAGGTGGTGGCATCTTGAATATAGATTTAAGTTGTGGTTCAGTTTGATTAAATGTGGGGTTTAGCTTGAATTAAATGACACTGGAATCTTACAACTGGTGTGTTGTCCACACCCCCAGCCCCTGGAAAATTTTAATTGCTAGAAATGTGCCACTTGTTTGTCTTGCCCTCTCACTTAAAAAATGACAAATTTTTCTTGCTGTCTTATTTCAAATCTAGCTCAAAATCCAGATGAAAAGATTTGGATGCAAAAACCCTCAGTTATCATCCCACCAGCTGCAGTTCTAGTTGGGCATTGTCTCTCATTAAATCCTATCTGAAAAAGTACAAGTCTTTGCTAAAAAAGCAATTCTGTGCAGAGAGCTGTTGGTACTGCAGTTGTGACTTACTGTGTAGGATGCAGCGCAGACAGAAGCCACATCCATTAAATAATCCACCTGGGAACACAGCTGCTCTTCTGAGACAGAGTCTTGAGACTGCAGCACCACTGCCTTGGCTCTCTGCACCCGTGGTGTGCCGGGGTCAGTCCTCCCCACCTCAGCACTGCCTTCTTCTTCAGCCCCTTCCTCGAAGGAGCCGCTCTGCCCGTCGTCAATGCTGGACAGGATGCCCGAGGCCACCGAGTAGTTCCTGGAGGACGGGAGCCCCGAGTCGGGGGAGTCGAACTCCACGGCCGCGGGCGCGGGCGTGTCGGGCGGCACCGCCGGGAACGGGGGCTCGTCCTGCCCTTTGGGCTCCCGCTCCACTGAGTCCGTTTCATCCACAGATATGAACACCTGGGACATGCAAAACCAAAAACACACTCTCAGAGTAGCGATCGTTTGCTCTGTGCTGGACTTGACTGAGGGACCCGCAAGGGAGAGACCTGCGGAGCTAATCCTCTGTGAGAGAGGGTCTTCCTAAGAGGGTGAACCTGAAAGCCCCTTAGGCAGGTCCTGCTTAAGAACAGCTACAGACTTCCCAAAATTCCAGCCTAGCCTTCACTCTATCCTAGAGGCACTACAGCTCCAATCTCTGCACAGGATCCAGGCTGATGGAGCTGTGCTAACCTCCATCTCTGCTTCCCAGGGCTGCACCTCTGCAAATGCCCAGTGCTGCCCACAGCAGATGGTGAGTGGGAAGGGAGTACCTACATCGTTGCTGATGGTGGAGTCCCTGTGGATGAGCCGCTGGACGTGGCTGTCGATGCTGCTGCCCGACGAGAACTTGGCCAGCGTGGCCGAGTGCGACTCCTTCTCTCGCTGCTTCACAACCACCTCGCAGGCCTTCCACTCTGCCATCACCTTCTGGTACTGCAGAGCGATGTCTGCGTCCACCTGCAGGCACACAGACACGTCCTGAGGTGCTGCTCCCCTGGAGAGAAGGCATTAGCACCGGGAGGAAGCCAGGAGGGAGAGGTCTAAGGCAAGTGCTGCACTGTGCATGGCCAGACCCACCTGCGCTGGTCCCACAGTAATAAAACAGGTCTTTGCTTTCAGTGGCTGTTGAAAGACAGACACAGAAACTCCCCTAGAGCTATTAAGGGACATGCAGTAATTTTATTACTCTGTCACTTGTCAAGAGCTGAAGAGAAACCACAATTGTGAGATGGCTCCAGGCTCTGGACTCTGCTGGCTGAGCTGCTACCCAAGTGTTCATGCTAAGAGCTGCAGGCTATTTGTCACTTGAGGTAGCTGTCGAGTCATAAATCATAAAATACAACAGTTAGTGGAAGGCTGGAGAACAGCCATGTCTGGGAGCACCCCAGATACTGATGGACAACTGCAAAAATACCATCAGAAGGCAAAGATGATAAATCACCTGTGATGACTTCAGTTAAGGACATGAGGAGTTCCCTGTACATGCAGGTGTTATGACTGGTTTCATGTCATTCATTTAACAGACTCTTACATTCAGTGTAAGCTTCAGTCCCCACAGCCCATTCCTTTGAGGAGTCAGTTATTACTGTTGTTCACTACTGGTGTTGAGTAGCTCCTTAGAATTCCAGGTAAGTTTGGAGCATCCCTGTGTTAGTATGGTACAAACACAGGGAGGAAAATCCTCTATAGCAGCCTGAATTCTGCAGATCAGATCTTTTCTATCTTGCATCATCTCTTTATGAATTTACTGTAATTCCTGTCATACAAACAGGCTCCATTATTTATGTCTTCTTGCCAAATCTGCTGTGTTCCAGCTGTACACATGCCCTTTGGAGATGGAGTTAGCATCCTTGAGATATGGCTTCACATCTCCCACTCTGCATCTGGGCCCTTTTTTCAGTTCTCATGAGCTAGGGCAACCAGCAGGGCTCACTCACTGCCCTCTGTGGTTTCTGAGGTACTGCATCTTCTTCAGATGCTGGTGGCATGGAAGGGCAGGAATTTGCTCAGCAGAACAGTACTGATGTACACACTGCAGCCAGAAAATCTATATAAACATCTGCAAAGATGACTGGATTCAGGGAGGAGAATCTGGACTGTGACCCAGTTTGAACAGTGAAGGGGTATATTTCTCCATCTGTGTTCAGAACTGGTTTATAAAGATTAGTGGGAGGAAAACAACTCAAATTGCCATAGCAATGTTTAGCAAGAAGAGAGCTGTTTATAAAGTGGCCCCTGTTTGCAAGACAGCTGATTTGCCCATGGCAAGGCTCGAGGTCAGGCCGCCCTTCTGCTCTGGAGGTGCTCACAGGGATATAAACTATCCCTTGGCATATAAAGTACTTGGGAGTTAGCAAATGCCAAATGTTTTGATATATAAACTACTCCTTATCAATTTAATCCAGAACAGGATAAGCTACTGCATGAGTGCTACCTCCCTGGTAATAACACTAACTGAAAAGCAGATTAATGTGTTAATTATATTCCAGGGCAAACCTCATTACTGTTCTATCCAGTTCAGCCAATATTTGGGTGATGTCAGGGCAAAGCAATGTTTTACCAACACACAGTCCAGCCCTTCCCCACAGGCCTGGGTCCTGCTGCAGTCCTGTGGCTCTGCAGGGGAGCACATCACTTCCTCTCCTTCAGGGAGTAAGTGCAACAAGTGACAGCACTCAGCAAAGGAGAAAGGTGCTGTTGCTCTAAACAGATTAGCAAAGGGAGACGGTGTAACTGAGAGGTGGGCAAACTGTGGTTTCATTAGAGGAAACGATACACTTCATGCCAGGTTTCAGATGGCAGAATAAGGCTGTGACATAACCTGGGCAGTTATTCATGACCAGTGTTAGCAGGAGCATGGGAGATGTTAAAAAGAAGAGTGTGGCATCTGAAGTCACATCGTGTGTTTTACAGGGGCACATATTTAAGTCTAACAAAAGCATAGTGAACTTACAAACCAAACCTTCTTCTGGGTATTTTTGGTCTCTGGACAGTAACTCCAGAGGGTCCATCTGGGCTGTTCCCAGCTCCAGCAGAAGTCCACATATGCAGATGCAGTAACTCAGCTAACACACCATATAAAAGAGAGATGAGTCAAGTTCCTATCCAAATGTCAATGTCTCCCCATTTTCTAAGTGACAGATTTGTGAACGTGCTCAGGACAAGTGCCCTGAGCCACAGGCAGAGCTGAATGCAGGTTCCCTGACTTCAAGAAAGAACTCCCATCTAGTGACTTTCAGACATAACAGCATGGTATCACAATCCCTCTGCTAACATGGGTTACCTATGTTTTCAGCAGCATTTTTCCCTTGGGAATATTTAACAGTAACAAAGACCAACCCTTGCTATTCAGAAAACAAAACCTACTCTCTGCAAAGGTGATTCCCATTCCTGGGAAGCCGTGCTTACCTGGTCCATCTCTTTCTTGGCCATCCCGAATTTGTAGTGACCCAACAAGAACGGCCACACTTCCTTCCGAATCTCGTGCTGCACCCCGCCATAGTAAACTCTCCTCAGTAATTCCAGTTCCTTGTAGTTCTACAGCAGCCAGGAGAAAGAGGTGTTGAAGGCAATATATCTGTATTTTCCTCAGGCACACTCAAAGACACTTCACACCGAGTACACAGACAGTGAAATACAGGCAGGGCACTAGACAGATTTTGCAGCTTGATTCAAGCCTTAGCTCAAATCCAGTGAAATATCCCATGAAAATAATCTAACTTGGAATAGACTGGAGTCATCATGAGATCAGTTGCTTTGAAGTTAATTCAGATCTTTGCCATCATCAGAGAAGCAAAGGAGAGAAGAGATTTTAAGAATCAACTCATTCTTACAAGACAGAGAAGTGGCCCTGTGGAGGGCAGAAAACACCTCTAATATTTCTTGGGGCCCATTCCAAGTGCTTCCACGCCCAGGGCAGTTGTGTATGGAGCTGAACATAAAGGTGTTGTGTTACTGACCTTCTTGTCCTTCTGGTACTTGCTCCAGACCTCCTTGGTGAGGCCCCCGGTGGCGCTGCAGGGCCGGTCCGGGGGGACGATGTTGTGGTTCACCAGGGCCGAGAGGTGAGTCCGCACCGTCGACAAGTGCCGGCAGTGGGCCAGCCCTGGGGGAATGTTCATCTGTGAGCAATGCCCAGCCCCTGGGACAGTAAACCTGCCACCAACATCCTGTGTGAACTGAACACTGCACGGTGTCACAGCGAGGAATTACAACAGAGCCGAAGATGAAACAGATCTTACACAGACCAGTAAAATCCAAGGAGCCCGTTACGCTGCCGTGGCAAACTACATTCTGTCTGCACATCCCTTCACCTGCTGCCATCTGCAGAACCCACAAGATACTGGCATTATGAAGCTGTGACACTGGAGTCACATCCACCCTACTGCCTGGAGCTTTTCTGACTCACAGCAATGAAGTTGGGGTGGGGCAGCTTTCTAAACCAAACATCCCATGTTGTTTAGATAAGGATAAAGATACCGGATATAAGAAGCTTCACTCACATCCATAAAAGGCTCTGGAAATGATCTGCCTCTTCATGCTTTCACACAACATCTTTAGTGGAGTTCTGTGGAGAGGCATCAACAGGACAATGGCAGGTTGTGAGGAGAGAGAGCATCAGGAATTTCATGCTGATCCTATGTCCTACACATAGCAATTCTTTCTCTGCACCAAGATTTATTTAGTTAAAGGACATGATAATAACAAATTCCACTTTTTAAAGCATTTTCCCCACCAACATTTTGGCCCCAAACAGATTCCCCTGGCACATGCAGCCACTGCTGCAGGTACACTGCAAAGGTCCACGTCAAATGAGGTGAACTGTTGTCCTTCATTGTAATTGTTAATGACTTGTTACAGATAATGCTTCCAGAGCTGAAGTTGTTACACTAGACAAAAGAACTAGATGCAATTTTTCTATCAAAATGCAACTGGAGAGTAGATTAATAGGTTAGTTCTATAAATT